TCGATTCAGTCGTAACAACGTGAGTGAGGAAATTCGAGTAGTTTTGACACAGAAAGCGAAATTTGAATATCAGACACTTAGGTGCAAGATTATGCTTAAATTTCATATTTTCCGTCCCGTTTTTGCCCATTTCTCGGAGGCAAAATGAGCAAGAACGCTGATTTGTACATCATTCTAGGCAGAAATAAATGGCCTTTTTAGAAAGTGAACCATCGATCAGGAAATGTTGGTAGTTTTGTCAAAAAATGCTTGAATTCAAGAAGTTTTAGATTTGCGTAGTTTTTTTTGAGTTGCAAAATCCACTTGAACATGACGATGCTTTTTTCGAAGTTTCTCAAGAACCATTCGAGCCACAGAATTCGTTTTGACATCGTTGGATAGAGAATTGAATGGGGGGGTCATTTATGACCCATATGCAACAGCACTTATTGAATTTCACAAGTAGAAAAATCCAAACCCAATAGGAATTTCGTCAAAACGTTTCGCTAACACGCATAGATAGTATCTTCAGAGTGTGACCACCCGAAGCAAACACACATCTAAAAAACGTTGTAACTAAATATATTTATTTATCGATAAAGATATTTATCGACGACGGCCTGAAACCCCGAAAATCACCAATTATTCAAATGATAACTTTACAATTACATAAAGGTCTAAGATTGTTAAGCTATTTTTCTTTGCCCCCTTCTGGGTATAGTTGACTTTCGGGGTATTGAACGTGCTTCTTAATTCTCACCAACTCACTCGTATCTCTTCCAAATAAACTGTGGAACACTTGAATAATTACCTGATAGATCATTTCCTTGGGGTGTGCGGAATTCTCATATTTTATGGTTACTTCGGGGGTAATGTAAGAGACTGACGAATAAGCGTATTCCGATGCATCACCATTGTTTTGATAATAGTTCAACGGTTCTAATTTAACTGTATCGAAAATGTTATGCTTTATCGGTTGAAACATTTTGTATATGAAGAATGCCTAAATAAAACACAAAGACACTTCTACAGATGTAGATAAATCAATTGGACTTTTCAGTAGCTTCATTAAATGTATTGAAACTTATTGCTAAAATTTCCACATTAAAAATTATTGAATATTAATAAATAAATGTTTAAGGCATAGACAACATTTATATATATGTCGGTTTTGTGTTATTATAGCACATATGATTTGGACGTTGACAGTTCGTATAAAGTTACCAATCTTATTTAAATAGTTGTACAGATATTTGTTCACTTGTATAGATTGTATATTATAATAGTCTTAGTTAATTTAATGTTACACCAGAAGAATGTCTCGAAAACATCTACAAGGTCATTAAGGAGCATGCTAAAAATACCCCCTAAAGACAATTTTTTTCTTAATAAATGTAACGTTTGTAAATTAAAAAAAACAGCGGGTTCAAGGTGAAAATAACACAAAAACCATCCGGCGGAACGGAATAAAGAATTTAACATTAAATTAAACCCTTTATTTGCACAAGTGGTTCTGTTCGTTTGTCTCTCTTGACGAAGGAGCTTCTCTTGAGACAGGAGATATTCAACGTTTTTTAATAGTTGAAACTTATAGCCTCTACAAGTGTAGAGACTACAATGCATAAATAAGGACAAGTAGGTACATCAATAATTTTCGTTTGCACATTTGCGTTGTCAACGACCGCAAAATATAGTCCCAGCAGCTTGAGAGGTTGATCAGACGTAGGCGCGCATTTCAAATATTAAACAATCATGTCTATGAACACCAGCGAGTTTACTAGTGGTCTCACTGTTGATAAGACGTCGGAAATATCAGTAGCAAAATACTGTAATTTCATAACGTTCTACGTAGTACTCCGTCTTCCGATTTCCATTTTCCATCTGTCTCTTAGTTCCCTGTCGATACCTTCTCTCCAGGATCTTTATCAGCCTTCGCCCTCTTGACCGCCAGTTAGGGGCGAATCCAGCTTTAAAGTCAGGGGAGGGGTTATATAGAAAAAATACAGTATTCTGTTGTTTATGAACTTAGAAAAATGATCGTCGTTTTGTGCAAGGGTGGCGCAAGATTATTGCAAAATTTCACGTTTTCCGTCCCGTTTTGCATGTTTCTCGGAAGCAAA